GGAGAAACTCAGCAGGCCTGGCAGCATTCATGGAGAAGGAGCAGAGTTAATGTTTCGAGTCCAGTGACCCATCTTCAACACCCACATCCCATGAATGAATAATAAAAAAGGTCAGCTCACTGACTTTCCATCACAACAGCGAGAATGTGTAAATCTGAGAGCTTTTCTTCGCAGACTAGTGTGGGAAAAGGGCACAACCACATAAGATGGTTTGAGTTTGTATCAGTTGTTATGACTGCCTTCCTTGGTTAGGCTTATAGGTCCAGTCAGGCTTCAGCCCTAATGCTGCTGAAGTGTTTAACAGCAACCGGCCAGACTCCACATGTCTGAGACTGATCATGCAACATGGAGATGCCTTACCAGTTACATTGTAAATGTTCACGTGAAAAAAAAAATGCCTTAGTTTCATAGCAGCCAAGTAACTGAAGAAATCTGTACTCTCTGAAGTTTGGGAGATGAAGTCTACCTGACCAGGTGTACACCTCGTACATAGCCAGGTTTGTGACCACACATGTGATTGCACCAGTGAATGTAATGGCAGCAGGCTGGGATGGTAATGCATATTCATGACAAATGCAGAGTAAGTTCGCAATAATAGCTGACCCATCTGAAACGTTCAGAGAATTTAAAACAAAACGTTAACCTGCCATCCCAACTGTCCATTAAACCCCACCCACCTCCATCCTTTAAAAAGCTCCAAGCGCTCAGAAAATTCTGCTGCATATTTCGTGAACTTGCGCCTCACATTCATCCTGGGGCAAAGTCCATTGAAATGGAAAGGACCCTGAGTGTAAGTATACTTCTTCCAATGTTATCCTGTCTTCCTCTTGGTGGTTGCTAATCCATACACCAGCCAGCACTTGGCCATTGATTACTTTCTCATCTCGGTATGACATTGTTATTTGTCATTTCACAAATATTTATTTCTGCCTTCATTGCATTACTGAATCTTTGAGATTTTCAAACAGCATCTACATTAGAAGCTGCCAGGCTGGGTACCAGATGGTAACAGTTAACAGTGAACCCCCTACCCCAACCCCTTCTTCCTGCACCAATCCTTCCACCCTCACCCCATATTGCTGTAACTCCGATACAATTTCCCTTCCAAACTCTCATATAGGGCAGCACAAATGATCAGGACTGAATTTGCTTTGCGTGTTTTTTTGTTGTTTAAAAAGTGAATTCATGAAAATTCTCAGCCAGCCTTTTCAAAGAAAGTGGCCTTAAATTATATAAGGAGCTGCACCTTTCAAATGAGATGCTAAACTATTTGCAGACCTGACCTTTTGGTTTGCATGGTGTTCTTTTTCCAAACCAGGACCTATTTCATCATCCCTCCCAAGGCTTCACCTTCCTGCAGCCCGTGTGTCCCTATGGGCACCACTGCCACTTATCTGTCACTCACTGTTACTGCACTCAACCTGTTTCCTCTCAGTTGCTTGGATCCGCTTTTAGTTTCTGAATCCTGATGTCCAAATGAGTATGCCTTTTAATTTCTTTCCTACATTAGAATAGCGAACATTTCAAAAGCACTGCACAGCTTTTTGGAGCATCCTGAGCTAATCCTTAAGATGCAAACTCTCTTTCTTTATTATTGCTGAGGTCAGTTGCAGTTAAAGAACAACTTGTCCATTGAGGGAATTGATCAGTTTGAATGATGTCATTCCGGGTGGGTGGGGGGATCAATGAATTCCTTGAACAGGACAAGGTTAAGTCTTGAGGCTGGTCTGGTTTTGTCGTTGTGAGCCGTCTTGGGTAAGCAGTACTATTCAGGGAATTACTGGGAGCCTGCCCGGTGCCCAGCAGTGCGTAAACATGTTTGTCTAGTGTTCGCATGAACACTTGTACTGGGGCAGATTGAGGTTGGAAGTCAACTCCTACAGACTGTCAAAAAGTCACAACCCTGGAGGTCATTGCATGGTGTCAGACACCATGATGCCCAACATGTGGCTTAGACATAAACCAGCCAAAACAGCCTGAATGACAACAACAATTCAGGCTGCTACTGCAATGAAGAGGTCTGGATTGAGGACAACTTATACCAACAGAGCACCTTTCATGTCACCAAACATCCTAAAGTGTTTCCTCAGAAGTCATATAATCAACATATGATGCTGAGGTGCAAAATGAAATATCAAAAGCAAAATGCTATGAATGCTGGATATTTGAAATAAACGCACACAATTCTGGAGAAAGTCCGCAGGTCTGGCAGCATCTGCAGAGAGAGAAACAGAATTGATGCTTCGAGTCTAGTGACCCTACACCAGAAGGGCAGGCACGGTAGCTCAGTGGTTAGCATTGCTGTCTCACAGCAACAGGGTCCCAGGTTTGATTCCACCCTTTGGTGACTGTCTGTGTAGAATTTACACATTCTCCCAGTGTCTGTGTGGATGTCCTCCGGGTGCTCCAGTTTCCTTCCACAGGCCAAAAATGTGCAGGTTAGGTGGATTAGCCATGGGAAATACAGGGTTACAGGGATGCTCTTGGGAGGGTTGGTGTAGACTCGATGGGCTGAATAGCCTGTTTCTGCACTGCATGGATTCTATGATTCAATGAGTTGAGTTCCACATAGAACTCCATTCTGAAGAAGAGCCATACCAGACCTGAAACTTTAGTCTGTTTCTCAATGCCCAGATGCTATGCTTCCTCAGCATTCTCTGTATATGTCAAATGACCAAAACTTTGTCAAAGAGGCAGGTTGTAACGAGTGTGTGAAAGGAGGATATAAAGATTAAAAAGGTGTAGGGAGGGACTGCCAGAACATAAGGCCACCGGTGGTCGAACAGTCAAAATCAGTGATACTGGGAGTGATACTATACCACCAGTGGAGCTGGAGAAGACTGTAGTGATTGGGAGGGATGTGGCAATGGAGAGATTTGGAAACAAGGAGGCCAATCTTGAGGATGCAAGCCTAAATTGCTCCAAGGCAGCATGAGCATGTGACTTTTTAGCTTTAAAAACAAGTCATGAACAAACAAACTGACATCAATGAAAGTGGCCGAGAAGCTGTTGGATTGTCGCAAAATCCCAGCTGGTCCTTTCCCAGCCCCACGACAATCTGGTTGACTATAACTCGCTTGTGAAGAAGATTGGAGCCATTGAGTGATTGTCCATCTCTAGCAAAAATGTCATGTTTGTCAATAATGCACCAACCGTTAGAATGAATGGAAAGATTTGCTGATGGGCACAATTTTATTGACATGCAAGATTAACAAAGTTCTGAAGAAGAATCACTGTATTCAAAACTTTAATTCGGTTTCACTCTCTATAGATGCTGAGTTCCCCTGACAATTTCTGTTTTTGTTTTAGTTTTCCAGCATCCACAGTCTTTGTTTTATTTCACCAAATTTCACTATCGTGCACAGTCATTTATTCTTCAGCCAAGTTTTTTTCCTTTATTCATTCATGGGATGAGAGGGTCGCTGGCTAGGCAGCATTTATTGCCCATAGGGCAGTTAAGAGTCAACAACATTTACTGTGGGTCTGGAGTCACACGTAGGCCAGACCAGGTAAGGATGGCGGTTTCCTTCCCTAAAGGGCATTAGTGAACCACTTGGGTTCTTCCTGACAATTGACAATGGATTCATGGTCATCATTAAATTCTTAATTCCAGATATTTATTGAATTCAGATTCCGCCATCTGCTGTAGTGGGATTTGAACTCACGACCCCAGAACATTATCTGGGTCTCTGGATTAACAATCCAGTAATAATACCACTAGGCCATTGCCTCCCCCTGCTCGGTAGCAGCAGTGTGTACTATCTATAAGATGCACTGTAGGAATTCGCCAAAGATCCTTAGACAGCACCTTCCAAACCCATGACCACTTCCATCTTGAAATTTAAGGGCAGCAGATACTAGGGAACACCACCATTTGCAAATTCGCCTTCAAGCCACTCACCATCCTGGCTTGGAAACATGGTGCTGTTCCTTCACTGTCGCTAGGTCAAAATCCTGGAACTCCCTCGCTAATGGCATTGTGGATCAAACTACAGCAGCAGTTCAAGAAAGGAGCTCACCACCACCTTCTCAAGGGGCAACTAGGGACGGGCAAGAAATGCTGGCCCAGCCAGCAACGGTCATGTCCCGTGACAGAATAAAACATACAGTGACTGCAGACACCGGGATCCCGCATCCTGGATCTAGGAAGTCACAATGCTGGGGCGGGGCAGAGGAGCCTTGGTCATGATTTTGTACAGAACATGAAACCCGAAAATCCCCCCCTCGACAAGTGTCTGCTGAATTTACCCATCACACATTTACAACCGAATTCAAGATCGTTTTCAGTGAGATAAACAATGCATTATTTACGTCCCTGAAGTAACTTGATACAGCTGGGTATCGGTAATGTTAGCAGCCAGTGCTCGTTGCATTGCTCTGTATGGTTGCCACTAGCATCATGCTAGATAAATGTACAATGTTGTTGCTGCTCTACAGCAACACGCCATAGGAAACATTGCTGTGTCTGAATTCAGACCTTGTATGCCTAAAGGCTGACCTACCATAGGGGATCTTTAAAGTGAAATTCAGAGCTGTCACCCCCACTTTCCAGTGTTAACCATTGCATTGTGATTCAAAACAGGAGCCTTTGAGCATTCAATTTACTTTTCAAGTTTCATTGTAAGAAAGTTGTTAGAAACATTAAAACTGTTAGCAGAAATCTTTTCGAATGAAAAAAATAGAAAATATTGGGGTCTAGGCCCGAAACGTCAGCCTTCCTGCTCCTCTGATGCTGCTTGGCCTGCTGTGTTCATCCAACTCTACACCTTATTATCAAAGAAAATTATCAAAGACCTTTGATATGACAATATGTAAACAGTACATTCTTTGGATATTCTATGATGAGGAATGAGCTTGCACTGAAAAGGGCCTTTCTCTACTGCTGCCACTGTATAAACATTACATTGTGCCCTTGTCAAGGATGATGTTGTCACTGGTGAAGAGCTTTTGTTGCGGCTCGCCTGGCCTCCCCTAATAGCACTGTTTGCTTTCCTTGACAGAGTGGATTCCATAATGTTATTGGAAGAAGGCTTCAGCATGATGAGTGCAGATGCCAGTGACAAAATGCTGAAATATGCATTAAAAGAGAGATGGAACCGACGGAAAGAAGAGGCGTTTGATAAATGGGGTAAATATTGTGCCTTGAGAGAAAGCATAAAAAGGAATTCTTCTTCAAACAGAAATGGAAATTGCTGGAGAAACTGAGCAGATCTGGCCGCATCTTTGGAGAGAGAAACAGAGTTAATTTTTCAAGTCTTCAAAAGTTCCTCATGGTAAACTGGTTAGCAAAGTTAGATCACATGGAATACAGGGAGAACTAGCCATTTGGAAACAGCTGGCTCGAAGGTAGGAGACAGAGGATGGTGGTGGAGGGCTGCTTTTTGGGCTGGAGGCCTGTGCCCAGTAGTGTGCCACAAGGATCGGTACTGGGTCCACTGCTTTTTGTCATTTATATAAATGAATTGGATGTGAACCTAGGAGGTATAGTTAATAAGTTTGCAGATGACACCAAAATTGGAGTTGTAGTGGACAGCCAAGAATGTTACCTCAGGGAACAATGGAATCCTTAGAGTCCCTACAGTGTAGAAACAGGCCACTCGACCCAACAGGTCCACACCAACCCTCTGAAGAGCATCCTCAAACCCTCCATTCCCAGCAACGTCCTGGTAAATCTGTTCTGAACCCTCTCCACCTTTATAATATCTTTCCTATAATAGGCTGATCAGAGGCCTCACGAACATCCTGTACAACCTTGAAATGATGTCCCAACTCCGATACTCAAAGGCCTGAGCAATGAAAGCAAGTGTGCTAAACGCTGCGACCTTTCTTCAGAACTCTGTTTGAAAATTTCAAAAATATAATTTATTCATTAAAAAAATATTTGTGTATATACATTGTCACAAATGCAGATCGGTTCACTTACATATCAAATATACAAGATAAAAACATTGTACTTTTATTCTGTCCAACTCTCTTATACATGCAATGCCAATATTTACATTTATTAAACTTGTACGAAACATTGGTTCAGTCTTAGTTGGAGTTTTGCGTCCATTTCTGGGCTCTGCACTTTCGGAAAGATGTGAAGGCTTTTGAGA